TTAACGTATTTATTATACTGTTTGAAAAGTTTTGCCCTTTTTAAAATTTAACACAAGGTACGGAATAGGTGCGGTACGTTTTTGTTTCCGCATAAAACATACGGAATAGGTACGGTATATTTTGATTGCGTATAAAACATATGTAATGGATGTGAGTGAGTGATACCATGTATACAAACATTTGATAACACATTTTTTATTTTTATTTTTATTCAAAATCAATAAATATTTAGGATTGCAGATCATTTGCTTTTTCGTTATTAAAAAATTTTATAATGAAGAATTGAAATTACAGAAAGCTACCTTTTAAAATAAATACAAAGATAGGATGAAATAAGAAGTTGATCCAGGTATGCCATACTATATAATAGACAAAAATTGATAAGGCATCATTGTATTAGAAGTTACGCGTTGTTTTTTTTTTTAATGATAATTATTAACTTTTTTCATAATCTAGTTCATTGAAAGTACACCCTGAAGTAAATAATGGTGTCAATATTTGGATGGCAAAGGAATTTAAAACTAATATTAACAACTTCAGAATTTATAATACTGGTGTTTATTATTTATTATTAACTTGCTTTTGGGATTGTGTGATTGTGACATTTTTCATCATTTAGTGAAATATTGGTGACGATGATTGGATGGCAAATGAATGTTAACGATCTATTAATACTGGTGTTTATTATTTATTAACTTGCTTTCGGGATCATGTGATGATAATTTTTTATCATCTAGTTCATCAAAGTACTCTGAAGCAAATATGGTGGCAAAAGGATTGGATGGTAAAGGGAATTTAACAATATTATTACTTTCGAGATCATGTGATGTAACTTTTTTTATCCTCTAGTTCATCAAAGTAAATACTGGTGACAATGATGGTAAAGGAATTTAAACTATAACTTGCTTTCAGGATTGTGGGACAGTGATTGGAATTTAACAATTTATTAATACTGGTGTTTATTATTTATTATTAACTTGCTTTTGGTGATAACTCTTCATTATCTAGTACTCTAAAGTAAATACCGGTGACAATGATTGGAATGCTAATAATTTATTAATATACTAATTAACTTTATGTCTACCAATACTGCATCCAATCATTATGAAGGTTACATTTATAATTGCAAATGATAGTTTTTATTATTATTTAATTCATTATAATCCAAATGTAAATAATTAATAAAATATTTAATATTTATGATAACATTACTATCTATTTACAATAATAATAAAACAATATAGTTTCAATGCTATTTCCATATTAATATTAGTAGTGCTAGTACTATTCAGTATGCATTCCATACTTGAAATATGTAATTTCCAGTATGGGTTCAGTACCTTTCCAGTGATTCAAATACGTTTTAAATATGTAATTTCAGTATGGATTCAGCAACTAAAATACGTTATATTGATAAAGTAATAGATTTAATTAATAATTTTCCGTACCAATTCCGTACCAATTCCGTACAAATTCCATACAAATTCCATACCTTTTGTACACATGATTTATTATTTGAATTCCGTATGATTCATGCGGTTTTATAACATAATGTGTTCAGTACCTTTTAGACGTCTTTTTTTTCATAGGGCTTCATCATGGGATTTACAGTGCAGATGAAATGTCCCATTTCTTCCTTTTCATCATTATTGGTTATATTTATAAAACCATTATTTGATTCATATGTATTATATATAATTCATTATTTTATTCTATTCATTATTTATTTTATATAATAATAATAATTTATCTTGTATATATAATACTTACCTTATAGATAATAAAAAAAATTTTTTTTTACCTTGTATATTCTATTTTAAAGAAGCATTTTGTTCAAATTGTATGAATTGAATTGCATCTAATTGCATATTATTAAATGAAAGAGCGTAATAAGAAATAATTTTTTCAGAAATTGTGTTACCCATTAAGAGTACTTTAAAACGATTGAAAAATTGATGTGGTACAATATAAATCCATACAAATAATCATCGCATTAAATAGATAACAAACAATTAAGGAAGGGAGGGATAAAAATAATACATAAGCTTTCTTTAACAAATCATTCATATATATATATCTTATCAAAAACAAACAAGTGTCATATGAAAACTTCTAATTCTTTACCAAATTTTACTCCAGATTTGGATAAATCGTATGAGATTGTTAATCCTGTTGAAAATAAAATAATTCAAAAAAGTTTTATTGACGAGGAGGATGAAGATGATAATTTATCATCAGGTAAAGATTATAAAATTATTTTTTAAAATTTTACATAACATTTAGCAAAATATTTATACAATATTTTTAATAATCAAATATTGATAATAAAAGATGATGATTTGTCTACTACCTCATCTGAATCAAGTGATTACACTGGAAAATTAATAGAGGGTAATAAAGCTGATACCCCTTCTCAGAGGATAGCCAAAGTTCGCGACTTTAAACGAAAAAACATTTCATCACTTACTTCATTCCGTGTTATATATATGGGAGAAGATGTACCAAATACTTGTAAACATGGTGTATTCTCTAAATTATGTGAAAGTCTTGGTCAATATTTTTTGGATGAAGTAAAAAAACCAATAACACAAGAAATCAGCGATGAAAAACGTTATGTATTATGCCCTGCAACAAATCTACCTATGCCTAATAATACTGTTTATGAATATTATACAGATAGTGGGGTATCTGTTTATGAAATTGATCTTACTAATAAATCATTGACAGAAGCAAAAGATAATTTATTTAAAACCCATTTCAAGATTGACAGTATAGATGACGATGATGGTGATGGCAATGATGGTGAAGAGGATGAATCATCTAATCAACATTTATTTGACCTATGTGTGGTATTTATACCACCAGATTTAGCTCGCTTTCCTTCTTTTCTTATTAAAACAATGCAAGAACTACAAAAATTTGTAACCTTATTACCTATAATTAGTTTGTACGGTCAAGAGTTAATATTTAATCATGAAAAGGATCAAAAACGTAAAGATATATTAAGGCATTTAGAAAACAATAAAATAGAAATGTTTGTATGGAGAGCTGATAATATGGCTGAGGATTTAGACAAGAAGGGAAAACCAACTGGCAAATTTATTGAAACAAATTATTCAAACAAACTATTAACAATTGATGATTTCTCAATGTTAAGTTCAGAAAAAGTTTACCATGATATGCAAATATTAAGAGCTCGTGCAATTCAATTCAGAAAAGAGCATAAATCAATGGCTGAGTTAAAAAAACGTAGCAAAAGAATAGATAATAAAGTAAAATTAGGAAGGAAAATTAGTATAGTGATAACAGCAATTTTGATAGCATATCTTTCGATATTTATTATGGCAAATTTTGCTCAGTGGACTCTAATTCCTGCTGACCTTGCTAGTTCTTTAGGAACAGTATCTAAAGCAAATCTCGGGCATGATGATGATATCATTATCAGTAATAATCATAATATTAATGAATTTTTCTCTCAATACAAAACTTTATCAAAATACATCAGAATCTGGCAAACATCTTCCAATAAATTTGAATTTGATATCATTAAACCATTTAATAGCAAAATAACCAAAGAACTCAATGTCATTTTATATTATGATAAACAAAAATCAATAAGAAAACAAGCAAAGATTATTGGCAAGAATCACTATTCATTTGAAATTAATGGTGAAGATAGTGCTAACAATTCTATTAAGAAAAATGGAAGTAAAATATTGATAAAAATCGTTGATAAAAATGGAGTTGTCATAAAAGAATTTGAATGGCCAAAGGATATAGAGAAACAAAATAATGATAAATCAATAGAATTGAAAAAATTAAGTCATAAAGCTCTTAATAAAAATGAAGATAATGGCATTATTAGCAATAAAAATAATTACAATTACTTATATGGATTTGGAAGTGAGAACAGTGTTGTAAATCTAGTAACCGAAGGAATTCTAATTAATGTTAGAAAAGCTACAAGTTTAGCTGTTAATTTAACACAAGAGACTTTTCTATATATAAGTGAAAATCTTAAATTTTGGATACCTTTTGCTTTTGAAAAAGTAAGGAACATATGGAACATTTCTGAAATTTTAGAAAATGTTAAATCATGGTTTCAGTAAAAATCATCAGTAAGATTATTATAATTGCATATTATTTATTATTTTTTTGTATTATCATCTTATATATATTATAATAATAATTGTTGTTATTGTATTAAATACATATATTTAAAATTTTATTATTTGATATTTACATAAGAATACATAAGGAATTGTTATATATAGCTTCCTCGAAAATTAATTTTCCATTTAAGGGTAGAGTTCATGTTCATCGAAATTGTCCCACTATAAAATCTGACAACTACAGGATTATAAATTTTTTCCTTATCAATATATTGTTTAAAGTACTCAAATCAGCCACATGAATAGAAGTTTATTCAATTCATGTAATGTTCTTCTATTAGTTTTACACCAATTGTCAAATGATCACAGAGATATCTATAGTCCTTCAAACTCTATACTATATTTAATTTATTCATTATTGAAGAAGACATAAAATGATTGAAATTAACATTGTTGAGAAGAGAAGTCTAATTTTAGAAGGATTGCTAATACTGCTAAATTAAAGGCTGAGAAGGAAGGTTATTACTATTTACATGTAAATAATACAATATGACAAGTCATTTAAAACACATAAGTCAGAAAATATCAAAACTGATTATAATAATTCTTTTATTCCAGATTTGATTGAAGAGTTACAAAATTTACAAAATGAGATAACAGAATTAAAAAAAAAAGGAAAAAGGGACCCTTACAATGTGTTCAATAATAAAATGACAGGTAAAGTGTTTAGAATATGGGTATATATAAATAAACACACATATAAGGTTGTTTGCCAAAACCTCTTAATGACTGCCGAAACTTTGATAAACAATTAGTGTGTGTGTGTGTACCTTGCCAATTGCCAAAATTTCCAAATGCGAAACTCTGCCAATTGATTTCTGGGGAAGTTTTAGCAAGCAACCATACATGGAAATTGTTACAATTTAGTATAAATAAATTGTGATTGTATTATTGTATTAACATTATTGACTCTTTAAATAAATCATCATCTTTGAGATTTGGACATGATTTCTCACTAATAGCAGCAATATATTTAAAAAAATTTAAATAATTGATGATTTAATAATTTATTTATATAATTATATCATTCAAAAACATTATGTCTGTTCATTTTAAATCAACTGTTGTATAAACTATTATATTTTTTAAATATAATAAATAGAGTTGATAACATTAAAACAGATATGGGCCATTTTTTATTTTTAGGGAAATTTTTTCTTTATTAAACTTCATCCAATTAAAAATTCAAACTTGTGGATTTTCAATTATTTATACAGTGTGTAACGAAAAAAATTGCCTTCACGAAAACTGAAATAAATTTGAAATAAATAAGGAAATACGTTGTAAA